TTTTAAAATAATTTAAAATTCATAAAATTTAAAAAATAAAACCAAAATTTTATGAATTTTAAATTTAAAAAATTTAAAAAATTTGCAGGGACCATTTGTGATAGGTGTGTAAACCTCAGGGATGTTTTGTGATATATATATATGCCACATCAGCAAACTAACGGAGTTTTTGACAGAATCTAACGGCAGGGACCATTTGTGATCATACATACTAACCTTGAGGACCACTAATGACACAAAAAAACATTAAGGATGAAATCTGATAGTTTCGTAAACCTTAGGGACCTTTTGTGATAATAAGCCCATTTTTTATATGGCTGGTTTCAACAGTTTTTTAAACTCTGCATTTAATTCTAGTAAGATTGTCTTGAAGCCTCAACAACAGAAATTTTATATAGAATTTCATATCATATCCTGATTACAGTACATCAGTGATGATATTATCAATCTTAGTGCATTCATGTCCTGACTAAAGTCCTGTATTATGTTTCCTGGGGCCTTGTTACTTTTAATTTGATGCCTTTTAGTTCCTTTTGAAATATTCAGTTTTTATTCTGTTACATTTTGTTAAGGTTGGCTTCTATGGTTATGATTTTCCACGTTGTTTGCTGAGATTGGATCCTTTATTGTTTTATGTTTTCATCTCTGGTGCTAAGATTTCCTGTTTGTTGTTTTCTCTCCACAGCCTAAGCAAATCCATGAGATTAAAGATTTCCTTCTCACTGCAAGAAGGAAAGACGCACGCTCGGTGAAAATCAAGAGGAGCAAGGATGCGGTGAAGTTCAAGGTCCGTTGCTCCAAGTACCTCTACACGCTTTGTGTTTTTGACACAGAGAAGGCTGACAAGTTGAAGCAGTCTCTTCCTCCAGGTAAATTGTTATGGAAACACTATTATCCATATAGAAGCAAGTAATGATGCTATTGCATGTCCTTAAAGTTATTCGGTTTTCTGTGTTAGTTTAAAGTGATTTAGGCCTCTAGATATCAACTGGGTTCTTCACAATCCTGTATGATATTTCCACAAAATTAATTGTGCAAATGCAGTTGCACGGGCTGTGAAAGTACGTTTGTGCAAGCATATAGTTCTCTAGATATGTTTTCAAGTCGCCCATTCTTTCTTTTCACTTGTCAGGATGCAAGTAATGTCATTTATTGTTGGGAGTGTGTTTTTTTTTATATATAACCTAGTTTGTTGTTAAATGACTTAGGCAACTTTGAATGTTTATGTTTACTTTATTTGATATACTTGGTTTTTTGTTCAATTTGTTGCGACTGATTAAAGGAATGAAAATAAATTTTCATGTCTGCAGGTTTAAGTGTGCAAGACCTGTGAACTGGAATACCCTGATCTTGTCAGATGGTTTCTGGGAGTTGAGATTTGGAAAACTTATCTTTTATCGTAGAAATGAGAATACTGTTGTAATGAATTGTAATTGCATGCTGCAATTGTTTGGTGGATAGTCTTTTTCAATTATGGCTATTTAGACATGTTTCATCGCTTTGCAATTACCAGTTTGGATGTGTGTTTCTACTGTTTGTTTAGTTTGATACGTTGATGCTGAAATTGATTTCGTTGCCAAGCCTTAATTCTTTGCCGTGCCAAATCACTTGAATTTTGTATCTAAATGCAGTTTCATCTAAACCAATATTAAAACATGTTGCAAAGGTTAAGCAGTTGTATTGCGTAGTCTATTAGTTTTGTACTTATAGTGGCAGCACTTGAGATTTGTTTAGATGTTTGGGTATGGTGAAAAACTTGTATATTACCGTTTAACAACATGATTGGTTGGAAATAATAAAATAGTGATATCCCCATGTCATACAAAATTTTATTTTGTATGAAATTTTGTTTCTGAATATGCTATTAGAAGTAAAAATTAGTAAGGGTTTTTGACCGACATGGTCCCCCAACTATTGCTCCATTTTGGTTCATCAACTAAAATTTTCTTTTCAATAGTCCAACTCTCCATTTAGTATCAAATTGGTCCTACTGTAATGTCTGTCATTTTTGCTATTAAAATTACGGGGTAAAACTGTTCATATGAACTAAAATATTAAAAAAGTACTGTCACCACCACCACTCCAATCCCAACCGCACCTAACTCATACAGCCATACTCTCTCTCTTTCTCACTGCGACCACCACCTTCTCTCCCACCAAAAGCTTCTCAAGACACCCTACGTTTCTCTTACCCCACCCCCGGCCTAGCCTTGACAACCCCCACCTTACCACAACGACGAAGGCTCTGTAACAATTAAGACAAGCACCACACATGCTAAATTCACGGATCCGGATCTTCTACTTTGATAATCTTTGCCATGATCTGCTTAACTTTTATTCTCCATATGCCATCTCATTAAAATTTAATATAAATGATATAAACTGGACACATCATCCTTAAAATTAAAACTTAATTGACTCCTAATAAAAATGAAAAAAAAAGTCTTAATTAACTTAATGTGAAGCTGTTGCAATCGTTTGCTATTTTTTCTCCTTCCTTTCTCTACACGTCTACCCCCCAAAATCTCACTGTTGCATCATCAATCCAAACATTCAAGAAATTATAAGAGAATAAAAAAAGATAGAATAAAAAATATGTTAGATACAAAGCAAAACTATCTATCATGAACCATTTGTTATTTCCAGAAATAAATAGCTACAGCCGATGCCCACCATTGCGTTCTTCGCAATAGATTTTTTTGTCATCATTTGTGTAATTTGGTACCAAATGCAAGTTTGGACATATGAGGGATCCCTTGGTAGAAAGGGACTAATTATACACATATATATACTTATATGTATGCATATTTATGGAGCTTCATTTGAGGGACATCCTTGGAGACTTACTCTAAATTGTATTTCAATGATCCAACCGTCTAATTTTCAAGTCTTGATTCATAGACTATCCCCTCCAAAAAATCACCAAAATTGGAAAATTTATGACCATTTGATTAGAAGGTAATCTTTTTAATGTTTGTTAAAAAAACCGTGTTCATCTATCGGTTTGATCACAACTACTCCCGTTATTGTTTTGTGATTTGTATTAAAATTTTCAAGGATGATCGATTAATGAATACTTAAAAAATTGACAGTTTGGATTATTGAAATATAATGAGAAGTAGCCCCCAAAGTATTCCTCAAATAAATTATTTTGTGGTATAAGCTTATTTGATGGATACATTATGGGATACACTCCATATTATGTTTCAATGATCCTACAAAAAATTGTCACTTTAAATCATTGAAATACAAGGCGAATTGAATCCTACAAATGTATCCCTTAAATAATTGATTTTAAGCATCTTCAATTGGAACTCCCTCCCAGAGACTAAAAATGACGTAAATCCTTGGTATATGCTTGTTTACTTAAAAGGAAAAGTCATGAATCAGGAAATTTAAAAATTTTGGAATAAGGAATTGGAATCATATCAACTACTCCCGATTTCTAGTTTTAAGGGTATTTGATTACGGATTTTACCTCATAATTTTTGATTCCGTAAACAAGTGCACATAGAAAGTAACGAATTAAAATCATTCCAATACCCATTACTAATAAGTAAACATACCATTAAGGTCATAACAATGTTAGTGATACATGTACGCATGTGCTTTACATACTAGTGTTTAAATACACATATAAACATTCTGATTCACTAAAGACATACACAAAAGAACAAATATGTACTCAGGCGACAAAAACAAAAGTCATTTTTAAATAGAAAAAAAAAATTTCGGGAATATTATCCAGCACATGGGATTGCATTTGCATATATGTGTTAAAATACATATATAAAAACATTCTGCTAGAGTAAACTAACACATTTAAACACAAGTTGGCGATCATGAGACAAACAATGTGTGCAAGGGTCAAGTAAAAAAAGAATTTGATTACAAATAAACACAAAGAAGCTTGGAGAATAATATTATTTTCCGGCACATACATGTGATCTTTGACTGAGTTACTGATGGGTGTTCGATCTGATATGACTATTATTTGCCCACTTGGTCTGTTGATGGCCTTTATTTTTTTGTTCCATTTGATGTCCATTTTCGCACCATTCATTAACTTTGATGAAGTTGGTCTGGTTTAGTACTTTATGGAATATTTATATATATTATAATTAATTTTAGGATTAGGGCAACTGCAAGATTAATCTTCCTATGCTCAATATGAAAATATTCATCATTATTATTTTTTTTAATTATATATAATTAGGGTCTATAAATAGTCTTCCTAATATGTGGCTTTTGCAACATATCCAAAACCGTAGTATAGTATTAACCCTAGTTTTTTTTTTATAATGGCATTGAAAACTCTATCTTCTCTCTTCACGTTTACTTTCCTCCTCAACCTCCTTTCTCTCCTCTCTTATGCAGCTTCATCATTAGAACCTCACAACAAAAACTCATCAGCATTTGAATTCCTAGACCATCTTAAGGGGGTTCACAAGGGTGACCACATCCAAGGCATTCATGACCTCAAACTATACCTCGAAAAATTTGGATACTTAAGCTATGCCCATGCAAAGCACAACCCTCATGCCGATGATGATGATTTCGACGACTTCTTAGAGTTTGCCGTCAAGACATATCAACTCAATTACCACCTCAAGACCACCGGAACATTGGATGCCAAAACGGTGTCAAAGATGATGATGCCTCGCTGTGGTGTGGCGGATATCATCAATGGTGCCACCTCAATGCAATCGGGAAAGAAAAAGGACCGCGGTCACAACCACGATCATGATTCCAATGTTTTTGGAGTATCTCACTATTCTTTCTTCAAGGGAAAGCTAAAATGGCCTCGTTCTAAGCACCATCTAACATATGCATTTCTTCCTACCACCCCAACCGAAGCCATGGGGCCGATTTCACGGGCTTTTCGAACATGGGCCACCAACACACACTTTAGGTTTAGCCGGTCGCAAAACTATAAGCGGGCTGACATAAAGATTAGCTTCGAATATGGTGATCATGGAGATGGGAGCTCCTTTGATGGGCCTGGTGGGGTTTTAGCCCATGCTTATGCTCCAACATATGGGAAATTCCATTATGATGCCGAGGAGCCTTGGTCTGTGGGTGCTTTGGAAGGTTATTATGACTTGGAAACTGTGGCTTTGCATGAAATTGGTCACCTTCTGGGACTTGGGCATAGCTCAGTTGAGGGAGCTGTGATGTACCCCTACATAGCTTCTGGAGCCACCAACCTGTATTTGCATGACGACGATATTCAAGGAATTAAAGTTTTATACAAGTCTTGACGAGGAGTGTGTGTGAAACAACATGACACTTGGTGTATCGGATGCTTTTAATAATTTTTTTGTGAAGGCAAAATCAATTGTAGCTTTTACATATCAAGTTTAGTGAAAGTCAATATTTTTCCTTCATATTTTGTTTTGTATACCTGCACATTAAATGAATTAATTTTTTATTATCTAATATTTTCATCTGGATTTCTTAGTAGTCATTTTTTGGGGATAGATTCTTAATAGTCCTTTCGAAGCATTTTTCTTTTCAATGAAACGATGATATTTTCAATTAAAGTGGATTCCAATTTCCAAATAAAATATCCTTCCTGAATAATACGAGCAGCTAGCAAGATACAAAAGTGGATGGGGCTACTTGCTTAATTAAATGTCTGATTACAAGAGACGGTTGCAGATTTTGAAAAGAACAAAAAAAACCTAGGAAAAGTTAAATTTTATGTAGTTGTTGTGACCAAGGTCTAAAATATCGGTGGTATCGGAAATATCGGAAGTCCAAAAACACGGAAATATCGAAGGAAATATCAGGATATTATCGGTATCGTTAAAAATTGAATAAAAACTAAGGAAATTGTAAGAAAAACTTGGAAGGAAATGCATTGCATGATGGCAAACACTGTAAGTGTAGAAAATATGTAGTAATTAATGAAAGAAGATTAAACACACCATAATCATTTATATATAATGAATGACTACAATATTTTACACTTTATACATTGCATGGTAAGATACATGAGTGTCTTAGTACCACATAGAGTTCCTATGAGGTTCAAAATGTTCACTATCTTCATCATCTCTCTTTGTAGAGTAAGTATATTTTGAAGAGTTGTCATCAAATGATAAATCCCCAAAATAGTTTTGCATGTAATTGTTAACATGCCACCCATATGGATCCGAGATTGATTGACGTTGTCCATAAGCAAAATCATTTGAAGATTGAGTCTCGGATTCTTTCCATGAGTCGCGTGATTCCATCCCAACAGGAATGGGATATGAAGGGTAGGGAAATGGTTGGTTATGAGTATAACCATAATTACTACTTCCTACTCCAACAAAGTCCGAAGTTATAAATAACGAGTCATTTTCTTGCCTTGACAAAGTCCCCCACTACTACAAAAAGGGCAAAAGACGACCAGAAAAAGACGACGGAAGAACAAAAAACCGTCGTTGTTTTTAAAAAGACGACGGTAACAAAAAACCGTCGTGGATAAGTGACTTAAACAACTAAAAAATGGAGATACTGTTGAGAATTTTTTTATAACGACGCACACAAATAAAAAAGCGTCGTCTTATTAAAAAGCTTTTCTTCATAGTTAAAATCTGACCAAAAAACAACGACAGCAGGTATGACAAGCGTCGTCTTTTAAAAATCAAGTGTCCTTTTTTTGGTAAAGACATGGTTGTTTTGAAAGAACTGCCGTCTATTATATGTAAAGACGACGGTTTTTTATAAAAAGGGTCGTCTATTATATGTAAAGACGACAGTTTTTTT